GGCACACAACAACAAATACCATTATTAGCTATGGGTCATTGTGACATGCCAAGCTACAAATCTGAGTGGAAAATGCAGACCAATTGGCTCTCTCCTACTGAAAAGCCTTCAGATTAAGAAGATGCTTGGTTCATGCACTGGGACCTTATCACAAGAAAATACCTAACTTTGTTGTTTAATACTGCTTTAATTGTTTTTAATTTGCTTTAAGTGTATTGTTATGTTGTGTATTGAGGCCTTGGCCTTTGTAAGCCGCATCGAGTCCTTCGGGAGATGCTAGCGGAGTACAAATAAAGTCTAATAATAATAATAATAATTGCCAACAAATGAACAATGCAGCCCTTTTGCATGTTTACACAGATACAAGTCCCACAGAGATTAATGGGGCTTGCCCCCAGGGAAAGGATTTTAGCCTTAATATCAACCTCTTTAGTTACCAAACTAGCTGTAGATGGAAACATTTGGGTATTGCTGGGTTAATGCTTTCCATGTGCACATAAATTGCAAAAGCATGCCCTGTTTCTCAACAAGGTTTGTGCCTGCTGCTCTTAATCTTCACGAGTAAACAACTTTACCTGCCAAATGGAAGCATTAAGCTCTTTGCTCTCACCCAATGTTCAGAAGATTGGTACTGTGCTGAACACAAAAACAAAGCATGCCCTCTTGCAAAGCAAGGTATTTTTTTTAATGATAAAGGGATCGGCAGTACAGTCCTATGCAAGTTATTTATTTATTTATTTATTTATTTGACTTGTATACCGCTACTCCCAATTTGGCTTGGAGCAGTTTACAGCAGTAGATTAAAACAATACAATTAACTTTAAAATACAATAAAAACAAGAACAGACATAGTCCCGAGTTATTCACCCATCAAAAGCTTGTCGGAAGAGAAAGGTTTTACAGGCTTTCGGAAAAGCAAGTAGATCTCGGATAGATCGGGTTTCAACTGGCAAGGCATTCCATAAATAAGGGGCTACAATTGAGAAGGCTCTCTGCCTAGTAGAGGACAGATGATAAGTCCAGATGTTGCGGACTTCAAGCAAATTTTGGTCTTCGGACCGAGGTAATCTCTGGGGTTGGTAGGGGGATAAGCGGGCCCTCAGGTACGCCGGCCCCAGACCATATAAGGCCTTAAAGGTTAATACCAGCACCTTGAAAGTAATCCGGTACTCAATCGGTAGCCAGTGCAGCTGTTGTAGAATTGGGGTGATACGACACCTCGCCGGCACCCCGGCGAGAAGACAAGCCGCCGCATTTTGCACCAGCTTCAGTTGACTTGAAGTACACCTCAGTGGATCCACTAGCCATATTGGCAAGTTAAAAAGCTTACTTGTCCGAACGTATCTCCCTCTACGTTCCACCTCGTAGTTTAAGATCTGCTGGGGAGGCCCTGCTCTCGGTCCCACCAGCTTCGCAAACGCGGCTGGTGGGGACGAGGGACAGGGCCTTCTCGGTGATGACCCCTCCCCCACCCGAACAGTGAATTGGACCAGATGGTTGCCATAATGGAAATGCCTTTATTATTGGATAACTAATGTTGTTTTAATGTATTGTATTGTATGATTTTATTTTGCTTTTATAATTGTAATTATTGTGGCATCGAATCGTTGCCATTGTTAGCCACTCTGAGTCCCCCTGCAGGGGTGAGAAGAGCAGAGTAGAAATGCTGCAAATAAATAAATAAATAAATAAATAAAAAGAATAGGCTGAAGGCTGAATTTCTCGAATATGGTGGAAAACCTATATGGGAATTAGTTATAAACTAGTCCAACTAAGTTGCTGTCTTGATTTCAATGGGACTAAAGCAAGGCCTACTATATTGCATCAGGCATGTAGAACAAAGCTATGTATGTTTACTAAAAAGTATGGTAACTCCTACTGGATTCAGTGGACTTTTGAGTAAACATGCAAAGACTTGCTCTGTGTGGCTAGTATCAACTGAGTTAAAACTGGAAGAGTGAGCATTGGGTCACAAATACCCATCAGAATGCCCAATAGTCACATTGTTCATACAATTATATAGCAACTTGGCAAGCCAAAATGCTTCCTTTGGGTGATTATGCCGCTGTTGTTGTGCACTTTTCAAGAAGTTTCTGACTTAATGCAAAAAACACAAGGAAAAAAACTATACACATAAATACTACCAACAATCAAATAATAGAAAACCAAGACAACATTTGGAATCTTAATAATCATTACGCCATTATTGTGCAAAAGGGCAACCAGGTCTCAGGGTTATTATTAGAAATGTTATGTAATAGCAGCAATTTTGTTATTTCTTCACAAAGGAAATGATGAGATATTCTTAGTAAGAATACAACCACAAAAACAAAAAGAACCCAGAGGCAAAGTAAGCCAAATTGTTGATGAAATTCTAGTAATATTAAACTGTTAACAACAACAACAACAACAATAATAATAATAATAATAATAATAACAACAACAATCAGAAGTGGTGGCTGGGGTGGCTCAGACAGTGAGCCCTTTTGCTGTGGGTTCAAGGTACCCCAAGCTTTGCTTGCGGCCCAAAAGGATGAATTCATTAAAATTATGGTACAAAATGACCTTCAGGATATGTCATTGAGGCGTCAATGAGACATAAATGAAGTCAGTGCTTAGACTCATCTTCAAGAAAGCCCAGGAAATTGATGCAAATATTATCCCAAAATAGGAAACACTTCTGGTTCCCAGCACTTTGGAGAAGGGACACTCGGGGAATATCATCACTGTCCAATAAGGGCAGTTGGACAGCACTTAAAAGGGCCCTGGCTCAAGGCTATGGGATGCTGGAAGTTGTAGTTTGAGAAGGTCCTTCCAAATTACCCATCCCAGGATTCCAGTGAAAGGAGGAATGTCCATTGTGGAAGATATATCATCCATCCCCACTTGAACTGCCATGCCTCAAGGCAATGGGCTCCTGGGAGTTGCAGTTTGGTGAGGCCCGTGCGCTCGTTGATGGCAAAGGCCTAAGCCAGGGTCAAACAACAACTAACTGGATCCCATAGCATTGAGCAATGGCAGTGATACCATCGAATTAATGCGGTTGGATACCACTCGAACTGCAAAGGCTCTTTCCTGTGCGAGGCTGGCAGTGGTAGTTTGACCAGGTCTTTCATCACCAAGGGCTGGAACCTTACAAAAAGACACATCCCAAGATTCCAGGACAGTGAAAGGAGGCCTGCATGCAGCTGGACCCCACTTGACCTGCTATACCTCAAGGTTATGGGTTCCTGGGAGTTGTAGTTTGGTGAGGCCATTTACCTCTTTGACAACAAAAGTCAAAGTCAGGGTAAAATGACAACTCTCTGGATCCCACAGCATTGAGCCATGGCAATGATACCATCGAATTAATGTGGTTGGACCCTGCTTTAACTGCCAAGGCTCTTCATGGTGGGAGGCTGGGGACTGTAGTTTGACAAGGTCTTTCGTCGAAGAGGGCTGCGGCCCCATGAAACTACACATCCCAGAAAAATGAATGCAGCTGACCCCATTTGGACTGCCATGCCTCAAGGCTATGGGCTCCTGGGAGTTGTAGTTTGTTGAGGCCCTCGCCCCCATTTACAGCAAAGGCCAGTGAACCACGGCAGTGATACCATCGAATTAATGCAGTTGGACACTACTTGAACTGCAAGGTTCTTTACAGTGGGAGGCTGGGAGTTGTAGTTTGACAAGGTCTTTCATCAAAGAGGGCTAGGGCCTTGCCAAATGACACATCCCAGGGTTCCATGGCAGTGAAAGGAGGCCTGCATACAACTGGGCCCCACTTGAACTGCCATGCCTCAAGAGTATGGGCTCCTGGGAGTTGTAGTTTGGTGAAGCCCCCTTTGAACTGCCAAGCCTCTTCACGGTGGGAGGCTGGGGGTTGTAGTTTGACAAGGTTTTCTGTCAAAGAGGGCTGGGGCCTCTCCAAATGACACATCCCAGAAAAATGAATGCAGCTAAACCTCTTTCGGACTGCCATACCTCAAGAATATGGGCTCCTGTGAGCTGTCGTTCGGTGAGGCCCCCTTTGACAGCAAAGACCAAAGCCAGGGTGAAATGAGAACTCCCTGGATCTCATAGCATTGAGCCACGGTAGTAATACCATGGAATCAATGTGGTTAGACACCCTTGAACTGCAAAGGCTCTTCACAGTGGGAGGCTGAGAGTTGTAGTTTGACAAGGTCCTCTGTCAAAAAGAGCTGGAGCTTCGCCAAACGACACATCCTAGGGTTCCAGGGCAGTGAAAGGAGGTCTGCATGTAGATGGGGCCCACTTGAACTGCCATGCCTCAAGAGTTGTAGTTTGGTGAGGCACTTGAAATCTTTGACAGCAAAGGCCAAAGCCAGGGTGAAACGACAACTCCCTGGATCCCACAGCATTGAGCCTTGGCGGTTGTGCCGTCGAATGAATGCAGTTGGACACCACTGGAACTGTCAAGGCGGGGGAGTGCTGGGATGTGCAGTTTGGTGAGGCGCCAAAGCAGGCGGAAGGCCTTGTCAAACGGGAGCTGCCAAGCCTGCATCCGTCTGCACCTGAACGCAGCCTGTGGGAGGGCGAGGGCCGGGTGGGGGGAGGCGTTTCTTGGCCGGACTGTCCCAAGGGCCAGCCTTGGCGGCCTTGCCTGAGCGAGGGCCAATCCCGCGCAGGTGCCACCTGTCCAACGCCTCCGCGGGCGGGCGGGCGGGCGGGCGGGCAGGCGGCTTCCCCTCACCTTCTCGAGCGGCGCGGGTCTCTGGACGGCCAGGGAGCGGGCCAGCGCCAGCACCGTGTTGAAGTAGAAGCCCCGCGAGGCCCCCGGGCTGCTGGGCTTCTCCGAGCGGGCCGCCGTCACCGCCGCCGCCGTCGCGGCCGCAGCCGTGGCCACAGCCAGCGCCGACATCTTGGGCGGGAGAGCCGAGCCCAGCCGAGGCGCCGCTGGACGAGGTCCGCCTCCGCCCCCGCGCGCCCGGCCCCGCCCCCTTGGCCGCCAACACGCCCGCCTCTCGCGAGATTTGGAGACCTTTCCGGCAGGGACTTCAACTCCCCGAAAGCCCGGCCCGCGCCGCCACCGGCCGGGAATTCTGGGAGTAGGAGTCCGAGAGAGGCCTCGAAGGTAGGGAAGCACCTGCTTCTCGGGCCCTTTCCACACAACTGAATAAAATCCCACATATTCTGCTTTGAACTGGGATATATGGCAGTGTGGACTGAGGGCCCTTCCACACAGCCCTATATCCCAGAATATCAAGGCTGAAAATCCCACAAGATCAGCTTTGAACTGGGCTACCAGAGTCCACACTCAGATAATATGGGATTTCCTGCCTTGATATTCAGGGATACAGGGCTGTGTGGAAGGGCCCTCAGTCAGGAGCCTTCCACACAGCCCTACAACCCAGAATATCAAGGCAGGAAATCCCACAATGTCTGTTTTGAAGTGGGTTAACTGAGTCCACACTGCCGTATATTCCAGTTCAAAGCAGATATTGTGGGATATAGGGCTGTGTGGAAGGGCCCTCAGATAACCCAGGCCCCTTCAAGACAGCTGAATAAAATCCCACATTATCCACTTTGAACTGGAATATATGGCAGTATGGACTCAGATATCCCTGTTCAAAGCAGATATTGTGGGACAGGGATCCACAAACTTTTTAAACAAAGGGCCAGGTCACAGTCCCTCAAATTGTTGGAGGGCCAGATTATAACTTGAAAAAAAATATGAATGAATTCCTATGCACACTGCACATATCTTATTTGTAATGCAAAAATGGTAAATGACCTTGGAGGGCTGTATCCGGCCCCTGGGCCTTAGTTTGAAGACCCCTGTTGTGGGATTTTCTGCCTTAATATTCTGGGTTATATGGCTTTGTGGAACGGCCCTGGGTCCACACTGCCATATATTCTAGTTCAAAGCAGATAATGAGGAATTTTCTGCCTTGGTGTTCTGGGGACCATTCCACACAGCCATATATCCCAGAATATCAAGGCAGAAAATCCCACAATATCAGCTTTGAACTGGGCTACCAGAGTCGACACTCAGATAATGTGGGATTTTCTGTCTTGACATTTTGGGATATAGGGCTGTGTGGAAGGGCCCTTCATCTCCACTGCCAGATAATCTGGGATAAGAAGATAATCTGGGATCAGATCCTGGGATATAGGAACAGTGCAATGTTATTATAAGTGTTATTGAAGTCCCATCAGTTCTACTGGGGATTCTGGGAGTTGGGGTCAAATGGCGAGAGAGGCCCACAGTTGGGACAAAAACTCAAGCCCTGAGTTTTCAGGACCCTTCCACACAACTGAATAAAATCCCACATTATCTGCTTTGAACTGGGATATATGTCAGTGTGTACTCAGATAATCCAGTTCGAAGTGGATATTGTGGGTTATTTTGGTTTATGTGGCTGTGTGGAAGGAAAGCCCAACTCTCATTGGAGGGAAGGATATTAGCGGCCAAGATGAAGTATTTTGGCCACATCATGAGAAAACAGGAAAGATTAGAGAAGACAATGATGCTGGGGAAAATGGAAGGAAAAAGGAAGAGGGGCCGACCAAGGACAAGATGAATGAATGGCATCCTTGAAACGACTGGCTTGATCTTGAAGGAGTTGGGGGTGGTGATGGCTGACAGGGAGCTCTGACATGGGCTGGCCCATGAGGTCATGAAGAGTCGGAAGCAACTGAACGAATTAACAACAACACATATAATACAGATTATCAAAGCAGGTCATCCACATTATCTTCTTTGAACTGGATTATAAGAGGTTCCTTCTGTACTGCCATACAATCCAGTTCAAAGCAGATAATCTGGATTTTATATGGCAGTGTAGAAGGAGCGTCATATAATCCAATTCAAAGCAGATAATTTGGACTATCTGCTTTGATAATATTGATTATATAGCAGTGTAGATCCAGCCAGAATCTGCTATTGAATTGCAATCTATTGCGGGCCCTTCCACACATCGCTATATCCCAGAATATCAAGGCTGAAAATCCCACAGTATCTGCTTTGAACTGGGTTATCTGAGTCCGTACTCAGATTTTCTGCCTTGATATTCTGGGATATAGGGTTGTGTGGAAGTGCCCTACAGTAACCACAGCCAACAACTGGTATCTGTAGCTTATCCCGCCTACCTGCATGACCTGCGTGACCGCATCTCTGTATATGAACCCACACGATCCCTCCGTTCATCTGGAGAGGCCCTGCTCACGATCCCACCTGCTTCGCAAGCGTGTTTGGTAGGGACGAGGGACAGGTCCTTCTCTGTGGTAGCCCCTCCAACTCTGGAACTCTCTCCCCAAGGACATCAGACAACCCCCAACGTTGGCAGTCTTTAGGAAGAGCTTGAAGACCTGGCTGTTCCAGTGTGCCTTTCCAGAATAGGAAACTCCCAGTATCATGTCCCAAACGCACTTTATTAGAGATTTAAGATTGCCTGCACATCGCACCTACCCTAAAATCCTTACATTTCACCTGTCATGTCCAGCACTTTTAATTTTATTTATTACATTTGGCCCCGCCCTTAGTTTTAAATGTGTCATGATGTATTGTTTTCATGCTTTACTGTTATTGCTTTAATCTTTATTGGTTTGCTTTATGAGTTTTATTGTTGCATTTGTTATGCTGTTGTTTTATTGAGGGCCTTGGCCTTTGTCAGCCTTCGGGAGATGTTAGCAGGGTACAAATAAAGTTAATAAATAAATAAATAATATCCTCTGGAAGACTCAGCTGCTAAAGATGCCCCGCCCACCGCGTGATCAAATGGCCACGCCCCCTGTGGCTCCTCCTCCCCCTTCCCTAGACGCAACCATGTGTATCAGCCCTTGTAGGGCCTTCTTTGAAAACACTCAAAGCGCTCTATACAAAATCCCGCATTGAATGAGCTAAATAGGGTTTAATTTCTCCCATCCAGCAAACGGAAATGATAAAACTGGTATTTCGTCGTCGTCGTCCCCCCGCAAATGGACGTTGTTGGTGCCTTCCAACCGCGTCCAATTGGCTCCTCCCCCCTTTTCGGTTTAGAAATGGTTTCGCCCAAGAGGCAGCCCTGCCCTCCGCTCTGGACGGGAAGCCAGAAGGGAAAGAAGAAGAGCTTCATCGAGGTGGCAACAGCAGCGGGTAAGTGGGGGAGAAAAAACATGGAGGACGGTTTCGGTTTCCGAAAACACCCCTAACTCCAATATTTACTGGCATTTAAAAAACAATACTTCTATATTTAGATTTCCTTCTGTTGTTCAAGGGCAGGGACAGAGTTCTTTTCCCTGACTTTCATCCTCAAGGATTCAGCCAGCTTTTCAGACCCAACCTTTTGTTCCTTTAGCCCTTCGGTTTCCCAACTGACTTTCTGGGCTTGACAACTTCATCTCCCAGAATCCCTGATCATTGGCCCAGGCAGCGGAAGCTTCTGGGAGTTGAAGTCTAAAGCATCTGGAGAGCTCTAGTGTTTAGTGGTTCTCAACCTGGGGTCCCCAGATGTTTTTGGCCTTCAACTCCCAGAAATCCTAACAGCTGGTAAACTGGCTGGGATTTCTGGGAGTTGTAGGCCAAAAACATCTGGGGACCCCAGGTTGAGAACCACTGCGAGAATCCCAAACTCTGGCCCTCTAGGTTTGGGGACTTCATCTCCCAGAATCCCCAACCCTTGGCCCAGACAACAGAGGCTTCTGGGAGTTGGAAGTCTAAAGCATCTGGAGAACTCGAGGGTGGGAAGCTGGCCTTTAGGGTGACACTAAGAAACCCAAACTCTGACCCTTTAGGTTTGGGAACTTCAGCTCCCAGACTCTGTAATCATTTGCAAAGGAAGCTGAGGCATTCTGGGAGATGAAGTCCAAACCATTCAGGAATCACTGTTTTGGGCTTGGGATTTGGCGGTTCAGTTTGATCGTCTTGGCTGGGAATCCAAATAAGTAACATTTCTGAATGTTTGTCTGTGTTTATGGTTTGACAATCCAGGTGTACACTGTATGATGGGGGTTTCTCCCAAATGGGACTGGGGGTTTAGAGGCCTGGTAAGTTGATGAAGGAATAGTCTGCTTTTGAGAGTTCATTTTGACTGAAACAAACAGGCCCAAAGAGTCTAAAAGAGTGTCATTTAATCCATGTCTATTAAAGGTTTCCCCTGACATTAAGTCTAGTTGAGTCCAACTCTGATGCTCATCTAATTTCTATGCCAAAGAGCCGGCATTGTCCGTAGATGCCTCCAAGGTCATGTGGCCAGTATGAGTGCATGGAGTGCTGTTACCTTCCCGCAGAAGCTGTACCTATTGATCTACTCACATTTGCATGTTTTCGAACTGCTAGGTTGGCAGAAGCTGGGCCTAACAGCAGAAGCTCATTCCACTCCCCAGATTCGAACTGCCAACCTTTTGGTCAGCAAGTTCAGCAGCTCAGCAGTTTAACCTATGTCTAACGTTACCTAAAATATCTACTTCACCTGCCAAGTATGAATCACAAGAATGCCAGACTGGTTTCTCACATCCTCTTCTTTACAGCTTCCTTGTGAAGAGATGAGGGCATTTATTAGGCAGCTTCTTCTTTGTCTGGGGTGACATTTTTGTTTGCGGTCCCTCAAACTGGAGTGACAGAGTTGCGATTGTCTACAATTTACGGTTATTTTGTATTATTTTGCATTATTCTGAGGTGTTTGTATTTGCTTATGGGCATTGGATGTTTGCCCTTTTTTGTGTAAACTACCCTGCGTCCCCTCAGAAAGAGAGGGAAGCCTATGAATTAGGTTTTTTATTTATTTATATATTTATTTATATATTTATTTATATCCCACTTTTCTCCCTGAATGGGACCCAAAGCAGCTCACAACATTTAAAAAACAGTACAAACAACAAACACATGTCACAATAAACTATCTTATAAGAATTACATACATACAGATTCTAAAATCATTTTAACAATTACTATTATTTCGGGGACTCGTCAATTGAAATAACACACAGTTCGCACAACTCGCTGCAAGTTAGCCTTCCTGTCATTTCAGATTAGATTAGTACTTTATTGATGCTTAGGCCATAGAAAGGAGATTCCATCTGAACATTAGGAAGAACTTCTGGACTGTGAGAGCTGTTCAGCAGTGGAACTCTCTGCCCCGGAGTGTGGTGGAGGCTCTTTTTTGGAAGCTTTTAAACAGAGGCTGGATGGCCATCTGTCAGGGGTGCTTTGAATGTGATTTTCCTGCTTATTGGCAGAATGGGGTTGGACTGAATGGCCCACGAGGTCTCTTCCAACTCTATGATTCTAGGTCATTCAGATACAGAATATTTATTTATGTATTTATTTATCCTATTTATACCCCACCTTTTTCAACCCCATAAGGAACTCAAGGCGGCTTACATGTATAGGCAATGATTCAATGCCATGTATGTGTGTGTGTAGCTGTCCCGGGCCACGCGTTGCTGTGGCCCAGTATGGTGATCTGGAAAATACAGTAATGAGAAAGCGTTGGTTTCTAATATATGTAATTTCTTTATGCTTGTGGGTAAACAGTATTTCTTGTTTCTTTGTCAGTGTTGATGTGGAGAGTGTCTGGTTTGCCTACTCAGGAATATGCAACATATCATAGTCCTTCTTTAGGGGTCCCTTTCAAATCTATGATACTATATCTCTGTGTGTGTGTGAATCATATCTATCTATCTATCTATATATATATATCTATGGCTGGATGGCTCCCAGTCAGGAGGGTTCTGATTCCATTTTCTTGCCCTGGTGAAGAGAGTTGGACTGGATGGCCTTAAGTATTTTCTGTTGATCATGGGGGTTCTGTGTGGGAAGTTTGCCCCAGTTCAGTTGTTTGTGGGATTCAGAATGCTCTTTGATTGTAGGTGAACTATAAATTCCAGTAACTATAAATCCCAAATACCAAGGTCTGTTTCCCCCAAACTCCATTTGTGCCAAGTTTGGTCCAGATCTATCATTGTTTGAGTCCACAGTGCTCTCTGGATGTTGGTGAACTACAACTCCCAAACTCAAGGTCAATGCCCACCAAACCCTTCTAGTGTTTTCTGTTGGTCATTGGAGTCCTGTGAGCCACGTTTAGTTCAATGCCTTAATTGGTGGAGTTCAGAATGCTCTTTGATTGTACGTGAACTATAAATCCCAGCAAGTACAACTCCCAAATGACAAAATCAATTTTTTTTGAGTGAAGGACATACATTGGGTTGTTAGGTGTATGCTGTCCAAATTTGGTGTCAATTGGCCCATTGGTTTTTGAGTTCTGTTAATCCCACAGACGAACATTACATTTTTATTTATATAGATATGGTAAAATAAACAGATACATTAAAACGATAATTAAAACCAGATATCAAACTTTAAAACACTATTTAAAATCATATTATCCGAAATCATAGTCCATGTCCATTCCAAATTGTCATTGCACTATTCCATAGTTCTCTGGTGGGTTACTAACTGAACACTTGAGCCCACATCCACATCTTTAGCCTTTTGCTGAAGGTCAAGAGGGAGGGGGCTGATCTAATTTTATTAGGAAGTGAGTTCCATAACCGAGGGGCCACCACTGTGAAGGCTCTTGTCTCTCGTTCCCACCAACCACACCTGAGAAGGAGGCGGGACTGAGAGCAGGGCTCAAAGAAGGAGATATGTTCGACAGGTAAACTGGGATGGAACCATTTAGACTTTATAAGCTAAAGCCAGCACTTTGAATTGTGCTCAGTAGCAGACCGGCAGCCAGTGGAGTTGACGTAGCAGAAGATTTGTGTGCTCCCTGTACCTTGCTCTGGTGAGAAATCTGGCTGCCACCTGTTGGACCACTTGGAGCTTCCGAAAAGTCTTCAAAGCAACCCTATGTAGAGCGCGTTGCAGTAGTCTATTCTCAATGTAACAAGAGCGTGGGCCACCATGTAATAAATATGATTAATGAATAAACAAATATGATTCTCTACTGCAGTGGTTCTCAACCTGTGGGCCCCACAGGTTGGTGTACAACTCCTGGAAATCCCAGCCAGTTTACCAACTGTTAGGATTTCTGGAGTTGAAGGCCAAAACACCTGGGGACCCACAGGTTGAGAACCACTGCTTTACTGGGAATGAGATACTAAATGGTAATACTAAATGAAGAAGACATTGTATTATTTGTCTTTGTGAGGATTACTTTTGAGTAAACCAGCATATGGATGTATTACTCAGACCATGTTGTGCTTTTAAGTTTAATGCACATAAATGAGTGTAAAATACATCTATTTTTTGTCATCTCGTCGTTGCTTTTGAAGAAACAGTGGCATATAAATCATGATCTGACTCTGATGTTATTGCATCCTAGCACTAGGGTAGGGATCCTATGGTACTCCAAGTGCTTGGAGGACTACAGCTCCCATCAGCCCTGGCTTGAGTAGTCATGGGAGTTGTAATCTCACGGGTTTTGATTGGCCACACATTGCTCCACCAAGTTAATGGCGCTTGCTGAGGATCATGTATCATGGGATCTCGGTCTAGGTCTAAAACTGGCATCTAACTTAGTGGTAGTTCAGAGAGACATATGCACAGTATGCCTTGGGATGCTTCTACACTGTCAAATTAATGCAGTTTGACACCACTTTAATTACCCTAGTTCAACCGTAGGAATTGTAGTTTGGTCAGGCACTGGCACCCTTTGACAGAGAAGGCTAAAGACTTTGTAAAACTACAACTCCTAGGATTCCACAGGATTGGGCCATGAGAGTTAAAGGGTTGTCAAATTGGATTGATTTGACAGTGGAGATGCACCCTGGGAAACAGGAGAAGGAACTGGCACAATGCAGCCATCAGGTTGTCCTGAGACAGGGGTAGGGAACCTTTGGCCCTCCAGCTGTGGTGGACTTCAACTCCCACAATTCCTTGAGGCTCGGCATTCGCCCCAAAGGCTTACCTTGGCCCAATGCCGAGCCTCAAGGAATTGTGGGAGTTGAAGTCCACCACAGCTGGAGGGCCAAAGGTTCCCTACCCCTGTCCTGAGACAAGGAATGGCTGATGATTAATGGCTTATGTTTGCTCACATTCCCTTCAAGGAATGTTGTGACTTCCTTTGTCATCACTTTGACATTTATAACTTGTGCTGATCAAGCATTGCTTTGAGTGCTGGCCTGGGACTCTAGGACACAAGGTTTGGAAGCCTTACCCAGCTTTGGTAAGCATTTGGGGACCTTGGGCAAGTCATTCTCTCTCAGCCTCAGAGGAAGGCAAAGAAGAGTGGAAGCCTTTGCCAAAAAAAACCCTGGGACAGAGTTGCCGTATGTCAGAGCTGACAGAAAGCACATAACAACTGAGTAAAAGGAAATAAGGGTCACATATGGGCAGAAGGTAAATAAATGAACTGGAAGGTGAGTGAAAATAGAATGTTGATAGCATGGCTAGAAGAAGGAGCCATTTCCCTTCTCTCTAAGGCAGTGCTTCTCAACCTGTGGGTCCCCAGATGTTTTGGCATTCAACTCCCAGAAATTCTAACAGCTGGTAAACTGACTAGGGTTTCTGGGAGTTGTGGGCCAAAACACCTGGGGACCCACAGGTTGAACCACTGCTCTAAGGGATTCTGGAACAGCTGTTAGTTCAGTATGCCTTAAGGCAGCATATCTCAACCTGAGGATCAGGACCCCTGGGAGAGTTGTGAGGGAGTTGCAGAGGGGTCACCAAAGACCACCAGAAAACATATATCTGATGGTCTTAGGAACCCCTTTGGCATAGAAGGCTAATGATCTCTCTGCCTGTCCTTCTCTTCCTTTTTGGAAACAGGCGGTGGATTCCCCCACCAAAAGCTCTCCTCGCTGTGATTGGCCAGCCTCTCAGCCAAGGGGAGGGTTGTTTCTGAGACTCCAAACGGGGGAGGGAAGAGCAGGCATGCTTGTTGCATGACAGCGTGGTGTGCATGTGTCTGCAAGGAAGAGCATGCAAGGCTGGAGGGGAGATTCGCGCCAGCTAGTCCCTTCAAGGTATGGCGGTTGTGTGGGAAGTTTGGCCCATTTCTATCGTTGGTGGGATTCAGAATGCTCTTTGATTGTAGGTGAACTATAAATCCTGATAACTACAACTCCCAAATGTCCAGATCTGTTTTCCCCAAACTCCACCAGTGTTCACATTTGGGCATATTGAGTATTCGTGCCAAGCTTGGTCCAGATCCATCTCTGGATGTAGGTGAACTACAACTCCAAAACTCAAGGTAATGTTCACCAAACACTTCCAATATTTTCTGTTGGTCATGGTAGTTCTTTGTGCCAGGTTTGGCTCAGTTCCATCATTGGTGGAGTTCAGAATGCTCTTTGATTATAAGTGAACTATACATCCCAGCAACTACAACTCCCAAATGACAAAATCAATCCCCACCCCCACACCACCAGTACTCCGATTTGGGCGTATTGGGTATTTGTGCCAAATTTGGTCCAGTGAGTGAAAATACTACATTACGATTTATAATAGCAAAATTACAGTTATGAAGTAGCAACAAAAATAATGTTATGGTTGGGGGGTCACAACATGAGGAACTGTATTAAGGGGTCGTGGCCTTAGGAAGGCTGAGAAACACTCCCTTAAGGGTTTCTAATGGCTTAAATGAAACCCAAGTGGAAAAAGAATGTGAAGCATGACCTCTCTGAGTTCTGGCCCATTTAAACAGAAAGCTGAGATACAGGTCTATCTTAGCCATGGTAATATATACCAAAAGATCAGGACGGGTTAGCTTTATCTTTAAGGAAAGTGAGAAGAACGCCTTAGGCAGCTGATGTGGGTGCTATGAAAGAGCCACCAATGATCTGAACCTCTTCACATACCAGGCCTGCAGCTGAAGTCCTTACAATGCTTCTTACATTCTGGGAGGGCAGAAAAACATTCCCACAGATGGGACTAAAGCGGATCAGCCAAGTCATGTACCGAGGAAGGCAAGGATGTTATGGAGTGTCTTTCCATTTTAGAACAAAGATAAACTGTTTTTCTTTTTGTCTCCACTGAAGAGTGTCACTTGACAATTGAAAGAAAGGCAGAACAAAATGTATCTTCTAGTGATTTGGGGCTCTGCCAGGAAGTGGTCATTGACAATCATTTGTTATGGTGCTGTGTGAGTATGCATTCCAGTGAATCACTGGAACTTCTGCCTAAATTTTGCTGAGAAATTGCTCTCCCCCCCCCCCTCCTCAGAGTTTTTCAGATGATTACTGCCTGCCTCTGATAGGAAGGTGTTGATCTGAGTCTGAAGGATCTTAGTGGACCCACATTTGGAGTGGCAGTCATGTCAGCCTATACGAAAAGCTACAATCCCTTTGATGAAGACGAGGACGAAGATCTAAAGCCCGTAAAGTGGAACGAAAGCAATGAACCCCCCAGGGGAGCCCCCGACAGACAGAGCTATCTCCAGCAAGAGGTCTTGAGGCGCTCTCAGGCCACAGTTGACAGCACTAACCGCTCACTCGGTCTCATCTATGAGTCAGAACATATCGGAGTGGCCACCTCCGAGGTAAGCAAGACTCCTAATATGTATGGATGTGTATTTCTTGCCTAGATAGCCAGAAGGCACCAGATCCTGATTGTGGAAACTAGCTATAGTCGGCTCTGGTTGGTACTTGGATAGATCATCAACACATGCCAGGTACCATTAGCGCTATTTCAGAGGAAGGACCTGGCAGGACCACTATTGAGTATTCCTTGCCTAAGGAAACCCTGCCTTTTTCTCCTGCTCAACCATGGATATGTATATTTGTTTGGGAAGAATGGAAATATTGGCCGTGGCCTTCAAAGCATGTTGATATGTTCTGGTGTTCTCCATAAACAAAGGCGACATGGAGGGTCCCAGTTTTAATTCCCAGAATCAGCTAGAGGAGACTTTTGATCTGAAATCATTACCAGCACCAGTCAAGAGGGACCTGTGGTATGACAAAGTGTAAGGAGCCATTAAATTATTTATTTATTTATTTATTTATTTATAGACTGCTCTCTCTGCCAAGGGCACTCAGGGCAGTTTACATACAAAATGGCAAACATTCAATGTCATAATCATATTCAAACACATCAAAATAATACAAAATAATATAAAATGACATTGGTAAACTTATAACAAAGAGAGGAATTAACATTAAAATAAAAGAAAAATACAAATGCTCAAATGAAACATAATCACACTAGTAACATAATTGACATTAAATACATATACCCTGAAAGATTAAACGATTAAAATACATAAAAGAGCCTATCTTACTTGTGCTTTAAAATGTACTATAGCGACCATAGAATACAGGTAAGTTAGCCCACATTCCAATGAAGTTGGTTTAGGGTATGTAGTCCTCCTCCTCTCGGTACGCTAAAGTGCATAAGTATGTTTTTAGAAGTTTTTTGAAGGAGAGGAGGGTGGGAGTCATTTTTTATTTCTTTAGGGAGGGAGTTCCAGAGACAGGGAACGATCACAGAGAAGGCCCCCTCTCTCATTCCCACCCACCTCTCTTGTGACAGGGATGGGACCGAGAGCAGGACTTCCTCTGCTGACCACAGTGCACAAAGTGGTCTGTATAGGGAAATGCGGTTGGACAAGTTGCCTGAACCCAAACTGTTTGGGGATTTATAGGTAACGACCAGTACGTTGTATTTAGCCTGGAAGCAGACCGGCAGCCAGCAGAGCTGCCGCAACATGGGAGTGCTTCTCTCCCTATATGGAGCCACAGTTAGTAACCTGGCTGCTGATTTCTGAACTACTGTAGCTTCTGAACTATCTTCAAAGGCAGCCCCATGTAGAGAGTATTGCAGTAGTAGGGATGTGACTAAGGCGTGGACTGCTATGACCAAGTCAGGCATCTCAAGGTACGAGCTCAGCTGGTGCACCAGTTTTAACAGTGCAAAGGCGCTCCTGGCCACCGCTGACACTTGAGATTCCAGGATCACCCCCAGACTGCAACCCTGCGTTTTCAGGGGGAGTGTGACCCCTCCAGCATAGACTGTAATCCTATACCCTGTTCTGCCTTACAGCTCATACAAATCAGTCAAAATGGACACCTATCACCTAATAATAATAATAATAATAATAATAATAATAATAATAATAATAATAATAATAATTTATACCCCGCCACCATCTCCCAAAAAGGACTTGAGGTGGCTTACAGAAGCACATACAAGTGCCATAAACATATTAAATACAGGTAAAATCACATCAACGTATTAGACAATATTAGCTCACATAAAAACAGCACATTACAAAAATAAAAAAACCAATCTCAATTAAAATCAATAAAACATACTACTAATTGGCATTAAAATGAATAGTACAACATCCCAGCCACAACCCAAATTCAACTATTAAAGTGCCAGTGTCAATATTACATTGTTTGATCCTTGGATTAGCAGATGTCATAATCATTTCCAAAAAGCCTGCCATGTTTTCAGCACCTTGCGAAATAATATATTAATCTTAAGAATATATACAGACCCAGGTAGTATTTCCAGTACAATGCAAAGGAATTTGCTTTTCCTCTAGATATGACTGCAGAGGGTTGTATTCCTGCAAATTTGAAAAGCCGCAATTGCAGCTCATATTTGAACTAAACTGAATTGTGTCCTGAAGGCTCAAGTTCAACCCCCAAAGAACGTTTCCATTCCTTGATATCAGAAACATGCCTTATCATAAGTAATATTTGATCACAGAGGAGGTAATTTGGTGTAAGGCACTGTGTCCTTTTTCTTACCCATGTAACTCTAAGCCTGATCTGTGAAATATTTCATAAGCATTTTTTAAAAAATGGTCCCTTTTGGAATGAGCACCTGGGATTCAATAGAGGAATGCTGTAGAAATGCAAAGGTGAACCAGTTAGTACACCTCTCCCTTGGCCCTCCAACTCTCCTTTGCAACATACTAAAGAAATGAGGAAAATAGTCACTTTCAATGCAATTCTTGGAAAGCAATTCTTCAGTAAGTCAAGCACTCACATCCCTTTTCTTCAGTCCTTTTCTTTTTTTAAATTTCCCCTTTAGGAGCTTACCCGGCAGGGTGAGGTACTGAAGCGCACCGAACGAATGGTGGACAAGATGGATCAAGACTTAAAGACAAGCCAGAGGCATATCAACAGCATCAAGAGTGTGTTTGGTGGCTTTGTAAATTATTTCAAGGCCAAGCCGCAAGAGATAAAGCCTGACGAAAATGGGGCCTCTGAGCACCAAGCAAGCAACAAGTAAGCAACTCAGTAGATGATATTTATTTATCATGTCAGAAGCAAATTGAGAATACAGTTATATATATAGCCACAAGCTAAGTTAAAAACTTAGCATTGTATTAAATTTCTTTTGACCAGAAGCTGGCCACTTGGAGTGCCTTTGGTGTGACTGTAAGGAGATCCTCCATTGTGCATTTGGCATGGCTCAGACCTCATTGTAGTAAGTGGTCTGTGGTTTGCTCTTCGCATTCGCATGTTGTGGACTCCACTTGGTGGCCCTGTTTCTTAAGATTGACTCTGTATCTCATGGTGCCAGATCGCAGCCTGTTCAGTGCATTCCAAGCCGCCCAGTCTTCTGTCTGCCCAGGGGGGAGTTTCTCATCTGGTATCAGCCACTGATTTAAGATTCCAGGTTTTAGCCTGCCACTTTTGGACTCTAGCTTGCTGAGGTTCCTGCGAGTATTTCTGTAGATCTTAGGAAGCTATTTCTTGATTTAAGGTGTTGGCTTGCTGGGTGATATCCGAACAGAGGATGGGTCGGAGATGTCAGTGCCTTGGTCCTTTCATTGCAGGCTGCTACTTCCCAGCGGATGTCAGGTGGTGCAATACCGGCTTGACAGTGTCATTTCTCCAGCGGTGTAGGGCGCAGACAACCTGTGATAATGCGGCATGTCTCATTAAGAGCCACATCCACTATTTTAGTGTGGTGAGATGTGTTCCACACTGGGCATACGCTTGGCAGAATGGCCAAGCGCAAGGGCAGATGTCTTCACTGTCACTGGTTGTTTACCCCAGGTTGTGCCAGTCAGCTTTTGTATGATATTATTTGTAACACTCACTTTTTGCTTGATATTTAAGCAGTGCTTCTTGTAAGTCAGAGCATGGTCCAGAGTGACTCCCAGGTATTTTGGTGTGCTGCAATTATTTATTTATTTACTAGCTGTATCCGCCACACGTTGCTGTGGCCAACCTTCCCTCCCTCTTTCTTTCCTTCCTTCCTTCTCTCTTTCCTTCCTTTTCTTCACTTTTTTCTTTCATTCTCTCCCTTCTCTTCCCTTCCTTCCCCCCTTTTCTTTCCCTTCCTCTTTCTCCCCTCTCTACCTATTCTTGCACTGCAACTCCCAGCAGTCCTCCTGATCAATCCTTCTATCTATCTATCTATCTATCTATCTATCTATCTATCTATCTACCTACCTACCTACCTACCTATGTCTGTCTGTCTGTCTGTCTGTCTATCTATCTATCTATCTATCTATCTATCTATCTATCTACCTTATCTTTCTGGGGGATTGCTGGGAGTTGCAGTCCAGGAATAGGAAATTGGAAATATGCAGGGATTGGGATGCTCTCCAAGAAATCCAAGGAGAAGAAAGCTTGCAGCTTGGAAGCAGTGGATTTGGATCATCCTCCTCTCCTAAAGGGCCTGGTTTAGGGGATGCTGGGAGCTGTAGTCCAGAAGAGAGTGTGGACATGCTATTGTGTGTTTTGTTTGCCGGGGGAGTCGTTTTTCCTATGCACTGTAGCGTCTTCTTGCTTTTTTTGGCCTTTTAAGTTCCTTCTGTTGTATTTTACAGTGTTTTTATGAGTGATGGTCATTCATCGGCCCGATAGCTGTATTGTGTCCAAATTTCGTGTCAATTCGCTCAGTGGTTTTTGAGTTATGTTAATCCCACAAAGGAACATTACAATTTTATTTATGTAGATTTATTTAATGTATTTGTATACCGCCTTTCTCAGCCCATAGGCAACTCCAGTGGGATTCCTTCCCAAGTAATCCTTAGAGCTTGAGATGCTTGTCCATTCGTAAGATGGAAAGCACATGTCTGTGTTTTAGATTTATTAGGAATCAACTGGTTTTCCCTGTAATTGGCAGTAAGAGCACCTAAAGCAGTGGTTCTCAACCTGGGGTCCCCAGATGTTTTTGGCCTACAACTCCCAGAAATCCCAGCCAGTTTACCAGCTGTTAGGATTTCTGGGAGTTGAAGGCCAAAAACATCTGGGGACCCCAGGTTGAGAACCACTGAGCTAAAGCTTCAGAGAGCTTCTCTTCAACCATTTCAAAGCTCCCTGCTTGAGCAGTGATGGTACTGTCATCAGCATAGATGAAACTCTCTGTCCCTTCTGATAGAAAATACAGGAATTGAATCATCTGGATGAAATTTGGGGCGCAGATCCAGTTTTGCAGTGAAGCTTCGGTCCACATCTTCAATATAACACCTTATTTCCAGTTGATTCGGGAAAGCCTACCTTAGTCACAGTAGTCAAATTCATACATTGTAAGCCAGGGTTGATATGAATTCGGATTAATTGGGGCTTGTTGTGCACTAGCATTTGCCACTTCTTGGTTGCAGAAGCAGGCAAACAAACCAGAAAGTCTCCTTAGAGGTGGAAAGACTAGACAAAACGATGTGAAAATTTGGAAAAAGTTTTTCTGCCTCCAATTGTAAATGGGATACTTTCGGAGGCAGAAAAGAACTCAGCAGAGATTGACTCTATTGACTGCTTCATTTTTGCCTCCCCAAATAGGAAATTATATTGAGGTAATGCAGAAAGAAATCTATCTATATACCTAATGAAAGTGAAAATATGTATATGTGTGTGTGGCTGGGGTGCCCACTTCCACAGGCAGGCTCCTGCTTCCACAAACAGTTTTAACCCACAGTGCTGAGGAGCCACCAAAGGTGCTCCCTCCAATGACATTTCAGCTTATAGCCCAGCCCCTGCCAATGTCCTCCACAAACACCATACGGACCACCACCCAAAGAATGCTTTCATTTGGGACAATTTCATCCTAGATTTTATGTGTTTCCTCCACCACAGGCATCCCAGTGTTTCTTACTCCCTCCATTGGTGTGGAATACATATCATCCCGCCCACTCCCTCTCCTTTAACCCTTTCCTACTCTTTTCAACTCTGTCTGCATAACAAACAGAGCAGAACTAATCAGAAACCAAACATATTGAAGGAGTTTGGGGGATTGACTCCACATGATGGAAGTTGTAGTTCACCTTGCATCAAGTCAGAGCACTGTGACCCCCACTGACAATGGACCTGGACCACATTTGGCACACAGAACCCCCATGACCAAAGAAAAATACTGGAGAGGTTTGGAGGGAATTCACCTTGATTTATAACCATTGTAGGTACCAAGATTTATAGTTCACCTGCAATCAAAGAGCACTAAAAATGACTTATTCGAATAACCCGGACAACACCAGGTACCTAAACTAGATGTAAATAAAAAAAATGCTGCAAGGCAGCACTCAGCATCACAGCTATTTCCTTCTCCCCAGATTAAAAGAAGCGTTGTCTGTCAGTAAAGAACAGGAGTCAAAGTACCAGGAGAGTCATCCAAATCTGCGGAAGCTGGATCATTCAGGTTTGTTTCATCTTGCTTCTTGAACTTTCTTGGAATCGGCTCGACTGGATCTCTTTCACCTCTTAGTTGTGAGCATTGGTCATTTATTTATTTTACCTAAAGGGTTTCTACTTTGCTGTGCAATCCATAAAGGGCTCGGAGCAGCCAAGGAAAATCGAGCACTTGAAAGTCCCCTTCCCTCAGATGTCTTTCAAACATCCAAGAAGCCACATAATCTAGAAAGGAAGGCTTCAAGGACAAATGGTCTGACTTTGAACCTTGGAGATAGGGGAGTTCTGCACAGATGCCAGCTTTGTCGGTTAGCTGGTAACATTTTCCCGTAATAGCCCCAAGGTTACAAATGTATGTGTAGTATTGGGCAAGTTTGAAGGAAAGGATTGCACTGCTCACTTCTAACAACAAACAAATGTTTATGATTGTCACTTATGGGTTTCAATAATTTAGTAATATTTGCTTTCCACGAGGCATGTCCTGTATGGCATTTAGACCTGGTGCTACCAAAGTCGATGGTTGGTAAATATTGCCTTTCTTTCTTACCAGACTATAGTTCCAGTGGAACCAATTCAAATCCTTCATCTCAACGTGATAACTACCCCAAGAATCAGTACCTTCGATCTTATCACCAGCAAGTTGATAACAATTTAGGTAAGCTGTAACAGCCTACCTAAGTGGGGCTTCCTCATGTTTACTCTCTAGTTGTTTCACCCTCAAATAAAGCCTTGGTGATTTCTCAGGTGGCGAAGGGGTGTGGAGTTTGTTTCCAGGGAGAAATGGGCATATTTTCCCGTTTTTTTCCTCACTGCAGAAAGAAATGGGAACTCTAGGACCATTGTTATTGATAATCTCAGCTTGTTTCTCCCCCTCTCCATTGGAAATGGGAGGGATAGAGACAGCATGGTGACAAAATGGGACCTCTAAAGTTGCTGGCAGATCATGGGTGAAGGGTGGAATTTTCCATTGGTTTTCTTCAGCAAAATTGTCAGCCAGAGCAGAAATACATAAGTTTAGTGATTGTGGTTCCTCCCAAAATCATATAATAATAATAGTAACAACAACTTTATTTGTAGACCACCCTATCTCCCTGTGGGGACTCAGGGCAGTTTCCAACACATATGGCAAGCATTCAATGCCAACAAAGAAACATATCAACAAATTACATCAAAACGAGACATCAAACAATATGAAACAGCCTAACTGTAAACTTAATACCAATTAAGAATATACCAAGACATCAAACTTAACAACCCTAGCAGACATAATCACTTCATATACATTTACACAATATAAAAACACTTTATTTTGTGTAGGATGTGGATTCCAACAGCTGACAGGCTGAGGTCAATTCCAGTATAGACAGGATTCCAGTATAGACAGAAAACGAAGATCTTCTGGGAGGCCCTACTCTCAGTCCCACCACCATCACAGACGCATTTGGCGGGAACAAGAGACAGGGCCTTCTCAGTGATTCCCCCCCCCCCCCCCCCCCCCCCGGTTATGGAACTCCTTTCCTGGCAATATTAGATCAGCCCCCTCCCTCTTGTCCTTCAGAAGGATAGTGAAGACCTAGCTGTGGGACCAATTGGGGCAGTGCAATGAGGCAATAATAGAATGGTGTCCTGAAATGGTTTTAAAGCAACTGATTTTAAAGTGGATATAAGTGATTTTAATGTTTGTATATATTTATGGTATTATTTCTCGGCATTGAATGTTTGCCGTATATATGTTGTGCTCTGCCCTGAATCCCCTACAGGGGGAGAAGGGCGGAATATAAATGCTTTAAATAAATAAATACATTTAATGTAGCTAAACGATGATATATGTCAAGACATATTAGTCTTCCTCTTCTCCATACACCAGAGTCCATAAGTGTGTTTTTAGCAATTTTTTAAAGTCTAGGAGAAAGAGAGCAGATTTTAATATTTTAGGGAGGGAGTTCCAGAGGTGGGGAGTGATCACAGAGAAGGCCCCTTCTCTCGTTCCCACCAGCCATGCTTGAGATGGGGGTGGGACCGAGAGCAGGGCCTCCTCCGTGGATCGCAAGGCTCAGGTCAGTTAGTATACGGATATGCAGTTCTGCAAATATTCTGGGCCTGAATTGTTTAGGGCTTGATAGTTAATGACGAGCACTTTGGATTTAGTCCGGAAGCAGATCGGCAGCTAGTGGAGCTGCTGCAGCATGGGAATCATCCTCTCATGATACGGCACTCCGCTTAGTAACCTGGCTGCCGATCTCTGCATCAATTGCAGCTTCTGAACTATCTTCAAAGGCAGCCCCAGGTAGAGAGCGTTGCAGTAGTCCAAATGCGAAGTAACCAAGGACTACCATAGCCAAGCCTGGTGTCTCAAGGTACGGGTACAGCTGGCGCACAAGTTTTAACTGTGGCCACCTCCGACACCTGGGGTTCCAGAGTCAGCTATGAGTCCAGGATCACCCCCAGACTGTGAGAACCTGGGTCTTCAGGGGGAGTGCGACCCCGTCCAACACAGATTGAAATCCCACACCCTGATCCGCCTTCCGACTGACAGGAGTACCTCTGTTTTGCCTGGATTTACCTTCAACTTATTAGCCCTCATCCAGTCCATCACTGATGACAGGCACCACTTTAGGGGCTGGATGGTATCCTTGGCTTTTGGTGGGAAGGAGTGATAGAGTTGGGGGTCATTGGCATCAATTTGACATCGAACTCCAAAAGTCCAGGCAATCTCTTCCAGTGGTTTCATGTAAATATTAAACAGCATGGGGGGCAGAATTGAACCCTGAGGGACCCTACAGGCCATGGAGTCAAATAAGAGTCCCCCAGCACCGCCTTCTGGGTTCGTCCCTCCAGGGAGGACCGGAGTCACTGTAGAACAGTGCCTCCCAGTCCCATCACACTCTGAAAGTCACATTTTCATATCCAAAACTAAATGGGTACGGTGAAATCAATGTGCTGCTTTCATAAAAGTCAATGATACTGAGTTGGGAATGGCCTGGAAACAGCAGAGATTACTGTCATCAGGAACTGATCTCCATACTTAATAAATTTCAGAACAATTGATTCACACAGCAGGATACTGGAGCACCTTAATTTGATTGTGGCATGAGCCTTTGCAGGTGAGAGTCTGAGTTAAATGGATCCCCAGCGTCTTAAACTGGTTGCTTCCCAACTATTTTGGGCTATAACTACCATGTTTCCTACCAACTAAATACATTGGCTTGGGTTGATGGGCATTGTTCTTCAAAGCATGGAGGATATCAGGTTGGAGAAGGTGGCCTTAGGACTTTCCGGAATTAAAATGAGCACCCATCTGCATCACTGTTCCTTAGTCCAAGAAATGGGCAGAGCGAGAGTTGTAGTGAACTTCCTCTCAGAAAAGGTGGCACTATTTTTCTGCTGCTAATATTGCTCTGTGTTGTCTTGGCCCTCTTACAGATGAGATGTCCTCTGGTCTGGGCCGTCTGAGGAATCTTGCTCTGGGCTTGCAGTCTGAAATTGAGGTGCAAGACGAAATCCTGGATCGCCTCACCAACAAAGTCGACACGCTGGACATCAATATCAAAAGCACAGACAAAAAAATCAAGGAGCTTTAAGGCGCTCCCAATTCTCAACTCCCATATTTGAACTTGGCACATTTGATATGCTTGTCTGTTGTCTTGCTGTCTAGGAAACTACCAGCAGAAAGAAAATGGCCTGTGTGACTGTCTTGCTTTGTGATTAAAACTGAATAGCCTTAAATTCAGTCAGAGAAATTTAAGCCACCTCCTTTTATGTGTTTAAGAGCAAGTTTAAGAACTGCCTGTTGGAGCTTCTGATTTCAGAGTCACTGTCTCAGTTCTGTACAAATCTACAAAAGCTGTGAGCTTCTACTTTTACAGTGCCCTTTGGCCTTCGGTTATGGCAGACGTTCCATACGATGAGTGTATCTTCATTGCCTGTTTCATGAGAAGTGTTACTCATTCCTTACTCTGAAATGGTAAATACTGTAGGCTATGCATTGTGGAGTAGCTGTTCATTTACTTCTTCATCAGCTTTTTAAAGTTTGGGAAGACCAATAAGCTTCTGTCAAAAGCAGAGGTTGCGGTCCAGAAGCAAAGCAACTATATGAAGACAGCGGTGGTTCTGGTAGTCTTTCTCTTCCAATATAAGCAGTAAGGCCCAGCATGATTTGCTATATATTTTAAAAAGAGGTTTACTGTCTGCTTGCTTCTGTTTGTAAATGGACTTGATGAGGATGTTGCAAGAGTGCTCAGTTTTAGATTTGTTTATACAGCCACCCTTTCCCTGTTGCCTGATGCCAAAGGGCCAATTGCTTCTGGTTTTCATTTCAGAAGCAATGTGTAAGCTGGCATCTAGAAACACCCCTGTGGTCTGGGCACACATGAAACAACTCTGCCTGCTGGTCAATTATTATAGGTCACCTGCTTTAGGATTGCATATCGTATCAGTCTGTCATTGCTGAAACGGGCACCGTCCTGCTCCTTAATTAGTCTCGGCATGTACATTCTGCAGCAGAGCTCTCTATGTACAGTGTAACCCGCTGTCCTTTTTGAATCTATGTGATTGTTTCTGTGTTTACCAAATATGAAGGTTTTTGAAACTGCACTCAGTGACAAATATCATCTCTTAAACCCACACAGTGAATCATCGGTGCAATAAAGAACAACTGAAAATTGCAGTAATTAATATAATTACCTCTGTCACATGCCAGTGGTCACTGAGAACTAATGTGAATGGTAGAGTTTCAGTTATAAGAGTATACTTTCTGCTGACTTTGGCTCTGACTCCCCTCGTAATTCCTGAGAAACTTGGCAGAAATCTATAACTACTATGGTATCAACTATGGATCCGTTCTATCAAATCTGTTGTTGTAGTTCGTAATCCACCTCTCACATAGTAAAGATTAAAACCAAGTGGCTTATTCAGTGGCAACACAATTGTAAGGAACATACGTGCCTTGTCACTAGGAATTGTGCTTCAAAAGGCTGTCTAATATGTCTTTCTGATGGAGGACCACAGTTCCCTGTCCTGTCTGAAATGTTTACTGGATGGTTGAAGGATAACAGTGACTTAGGAATTTCAGGTATGTTTGTTTATAGCTCAGTTTTAGAAAACTGCCAACTAGAGTCTTGACTTCCCAAGCAAGACAATCACCTATCTTCCCATTATCTGTAAAAAGAACTTTGTTGTCAAGCAGTGCCTGGAGAAAATTTCTTGCTGTATTCAGCTTGTCTGTTGTCTTGGCAATGAGTGGCTCTCTTGAAAAAAGAGAGTGGCAATGAGTGGCTCTCAATGAAAAAGAGAGAACCTTTGGAAAAGACTGGCAAGTGTTACAACTTTGGTTTTCTTTGTGTTGGAGGATAACTATGGTGTAGTTGCCAAGCGGGAAAGGCAAAAAATAAAACTTCCCCTCCTCACATGAAGCCGCCTTGGTTGCTTTTCTCAATTGACAGGCTACGAAACCCGCACAGATATTCTCTGCATCGCAATTACCTTTTAGAATGGCTTGCAAAATAAAACTTGCCTTTGCTCCACTTCGTACATTGTTTTGATGCTGGCTTTCCTCCTCATGTCGCACTTTTCTCCTGTTTCATCTCATTTTGAATCCCAACTTCTCGTCAGGGTATACAAATAGGGGTTTTCTCCTTTTGGGGGCTTTTTTCTGGAATTGATTTCCCTTTAAGATTTTGTGTATGCTCTGTGCGGCTCCCCTATAATTTTCCTCCTTTTGGCAGATGGCACTTTGAACCATCAGTTGTTGCAAAAGGCAAATATAAGTAAACATGAAGGACAAACAAGGCTGTTTTGTAATAATGATGTAGCTTTAGTGTCTGACTAAGACATCTGTTGGAGAGAAAGAAATGTGATGAAGAAACTGACTTGGTAAAAAAAATCTGAATTCAGGTATTGCTGAAAGATTTGTTTGTGTATTAATGTTTTAATTTCACTGTCGCTTTGAAGAGCAATCAAGGAGGACCTCTATTTGGAAACCAATTGTATCAAAATAAAGTACATTGTTCCAAGTGTAACAAATGCTCTTTGAAAAGACATGCTAACAGTGCTGGTGTACAAATGGATCTTCAGTATGCAAGCTCATGCTACAAACTGCTTTTTCTCAGCCTTGTAAGAGACCAGGAAACAGCAGTGCTTGTGTTCCTGGTGGAAGTCAAGATACCCATAATTCAGGAAACACGACGTCATAGGATTTTGCAAGTGGGAAGGAAAATAATCCTAGAGAGCATATGTAAAATCCATGGGTTTATGCCTTGATTCTCACAGGGAAGGAACTCAATCTAGAATGTATGCGAGACTTTAAGACGCACCGTAGAATACGAGATGTAATGGAGATTGCATCTATCCTAAACATGGTCCCAAATTGCTAGTTTACTTTGTGCATGTAACTCTTTTTTGTTGTACAGAGGAGTGTTCAAATGGAACTTCACTTTGATGAGGACGTTTTCGCTTTGAAAACCAACTGTATTTCTTCTCAGTGCTATGGAAGCATTTTTACCTTTGCAGACAATTGTTGCCACATCTCTTCTCTTTTGTTGTAAACTAAACTTTTATCTTGTTGACTTTTTTCTACTTGCAAGGCTAACCTTTCTACTTAGAAAAATGAGAGAGAAATGTATTGCTGTAGTGTCACACTTTATTCAATGTGCTTTTAGTCGATCAATAAAGGTGCTTATGGTCAGAGACTCCTGTTTCTTGACATTGCTGTTGGAAAGTCAAAACAGATTCTCAGGGTGTGAGAAAGGATGTTGTATTCCCAGAAATAGCTTGTCACACTTCTGCAAAGAAATACTAGTGTGGCCTTACGAAACAAGAACCTGCAGAAGTTTTACAAAAATCATTTCCAAATCTAACAAATGGCAACCATTAGTATTCAGAGCAGTATGTAAAATATTCACAGAGTGAGGTCCCACAACGACGGTGGCTTCTCAATCTGTTGCAGCCTTCTTCCGCCTTCACAGCTGTTGTAACATGTACTACCATGTTATCCTCCGCCTGCTCCGCCGTTGAGGTCTTTGGGTCTTTGGATTGTGCTTGGTCTGGAACCTCCCCTATGGTCACTCCTGGGAGTTCATGACTCCAGTCATTGCACCCGCAGGTTCATTGGAACATGCAAGCCCCCTCACCACGACAAGGTGATAATCCATCGAGGGGGACATCTGTAGGGATACCAAGGTGCTTGTTTATAAAGCTATTGTCCTCCCAACCCTTCTATACGCCTGTGAAATGACTATCTACAGACGTCACATGCAACTCCTGGAACGATTCCATCAGCGCTGCCTCCGAAAAATCCTGCAAATCTCTTGGGAAGACAGGCAAATGTCAGCATGCTGGAAGAAGCAAAGACCACCAGCATTGAAGCGATGGTCCTCTGCCATCAACTCTGCTGGACCGGCCACATTGTCCAAATGCCCAATCACCATCTCCCAAAGCAGTCGCTCTACTCCAAACTCAAGAACAGAAAACGGACTGTTGGAGGACAGGAAAAGAAATTTAAAGATGGGCTCAAAGCCAACCTTAAAAACTGGCATAGACACCGAGAACTGGGAAGCCCTGGCCTTTGAGCGCTCTAGCTGGAGGTCAACTGTGACCAGCAGTGTTGTAGAATTTGAAGAGGCACAAATGGAGGGCAAAAGAGAGCTGTGCAAAGAGAGAAACGTGCCAACCCCGACCGGGACTGCCTTCCACCTGGAAACCGATGCCCTCACTGCAGGAGAACATACAGGTCAAGAATAGGGCTCCATAGTCACCTACGTACCTACCGCCAGGGCAGCAAACTTGGAGGACCATCATCCTTGGACAACGAGGGATCGCCTAAGTGGTGTAAAATATACAATAGAATCTGTCAGTGTAGAACCTTGTTCTTTCTGTGGTCAAGCATGGCCCCCTCCCCCAAAACTGTCAAATTAATAAAGATAATTTGCTGGAACCGTGGTAGGAAGACCCGCAGAGAACAGGAGCCCAGCTGATCAACGATGTGAATGATTGGAGGAGCAAAGGAGCCAAGCAGCAGCTACCAGCACTCAGAACTTGGTGGTGTGTTACCCTCATATTTGATTCTTTGTATTCTCTTTGCCTCCTGTGCCTTTCTCTTTCCTTCCCATCTCTGGCAGCCATAACGACTTGGCCTCATAGCCCTCAGAGCAGGGCTCCCCCCCCCCCCCCAGGATGTAACCTCCCTTCACCCCAACTAAACCCTGAACCAACCCTTTTCCTCATGGGTAACTCAGCTTCCTTGATTGGGAACCCCCATGGTATCCATGGACCCTTTATGTGTGTGTATAATGTAATATTTCATTTTTTATGAACTTTTGGAGTATGACGCCACGAAGCAAGACTCAGGTAACCTTTCACCAGCACCTCTCGACTCTGAAATCTCCTCCAGTGGTTTTTCTTGGTCATCACCTAACGACAGTGGAGTCAAGCACCCATCATTTCTGGAACCAATCCATCTCTATTGGTTCCCATAAGACCAACAGGACCCAGAGTTGAGCTGCCCCTCTTTTGTACAGCCACCTGGACATAAGAAAGGAACATTCCTCATTTGGCATTTCTTCCCTGATACCAGGAGGTCTTGCCCTGTCTTCCACAATGCCATTTCCCCTTTTCCCAAGGGATCCATATATTAAAATTACATTTTTATTGGCTGGCCAGAATGCTAAAATCTATATAATGAATGAATGAATGGTTTATTGTACTAGCCATAGGCCATGACATCAGTAATACACTAACTTTATAAACACTTTCCAATATAAACCTTAAAATGTAACAAGAATTAAAACTAAAACAAGTTCTTTAAAATTATGAAAGCAGAAACATGACAATAACAGTGTCTGCTTTGTGTCATTCCAAACCGTTTCCATTTCTGACCCCCAGTATGGGTTTTGCTACTTTGGCTCTGATCTTTTGGGCTGCGATTGTGAATGTGGCAACCTTTAGTGTTATATTTTTAGAATGATCTGCTAGCAAGTCGCAGATCACCGCAGATTGTTGCCATGATGCCCTTTCTTCCAAGAGTGATCCTAGGAGATTTTTCCTAGGGTCATTGTACAAGGGGCAACGTAGCAAATAGTGTGTTAGGTCTTCTATTTCCCCTGTGCCACAAATGCAAAGTCGTTGGGCATGGGGGATCCCTCTGTATCTTCCCTCTAGCCAGTTTGATGGCATTGTTTGGAATCGCAGGGCTGTAAATGCTTTCCTCAGGACTGGTGACGTTAGGTCTTGAAGATATTGTTGACGATATTGGTCACTTTTTAGCCGAGGATACCAGGTAGAGAAACCTTGCAGTTTGCTAATCTGCAAGTTGTCAGCTGCATCCCTCTCAAAGGTTTTGTCTCTAATCGCCTTCTTGTCCAGATGCATTAGGGTATTTGTTGACCCATCAAAGTACTGAAGGAGCAAGGCTTGCCAGTATTGTGCCCATCCTCCCTGCTTATACTGCTCCATCATGCATTGCTTTGTTATACTCTCGTCCTCCATTCCCAGGAGCCTCTTCCCATATAAGATGTTAAGCTTATGCATTCTGACCTTAAGTGAGGGAAGATCCAATTCCAGCCTTAACAAGGCAGCTGGAGTCCCAGGGGGAAGGGCTAACAGAGCTCTTGCAAACTTATTCTGAATACATTCAACCTGTTTTGTATTGCCCTGTCCCCAAATTTCAGCTCC